AAAGCCAATAAGCAGAAATCAATAAAGGTCATGTTAATCATTACAAAGGAAAAATGAAAGAAGGCTATGGCTGTAATCCAGAAAATGATCTAAGATTTGGAAAGACAAAAATATCCTAACATATAAATAAAGTTCCTCCGAGACTGTCAGGAGGAGATGCTTGCAACCTGACCTTGTGTCTGTGTCTCCTCATTCGCCGACACCGTCCTTTCCTACGAGAGACCCACCCTGGCTGGAGCTGGACTCCGGCAGTCCTTGTGCTCCTGGAATTTACATTGTAGTGGATGGAGAAAAGAATTAACAAGTAAACGTGTATACTAGGTAGTGATAAAATCTATGAAGAAAAATAAAGCTCTTTATGCGGAGAGAGAATTACAGAGGATACTATTTTATATAGGATTGTCAAGCTTAGCCTCTCTGATAAGGGAACATATGAGTAGACATCTGAATAAAATGAGAGAGTGAACTCTGCAGGTATGAGGGAGATGGGTGTATTAGGATAGCAAAACGTGGTGAGGCAAGAGTATGTTTGGTATATCTGAGAATAGCAATGATGTAGGCATGGAGGCATTAGGGTTTAAAAATCTCGAAAATGAGTATTTATTCAGTGGTTTGGTGTGTGCATGAGAGATCTTACTTATTGACAGACTATTTTTTTCAACTTTCCCAGACAGCTCTATGAGGACAATCTGAAGTCCTTAGATATTTAGAGATGTTTCCATGCTCTTCATTGGCACTAATGAAGTTAAGCACCATTTACTCAGTTGATACATTACTTGTGCTGTCTTAGATAAGGTTTGCACAGTAGCCATGGATAACTAAATAGCAAGTACTTTTCTACCCTATTGTAAACTTTACTTTTCATTCATCTTTTTTACTGTGGTAAAATATACATAACATAAAATTTACCATTTTAAACATTTTTAACTGTGTATATGAGTGGTACTAAGTACACTCACCCTGTTATGCAATCATCACTGTCATCCATCTCCAGAACTTTTCATCTTCCTCAACTGAAAATCCATACCCTTTAAACATTAACTCTCTGTTCCCCCCTCCCTTTAGCCTCTCACAACCTTTTACTTTCTGTTTCTGAATTTCCTGACTCTACTCAAGGTAACTCATATGAATGGAATCGTACAATATTTATCCTTTTGTGACTGGCTTATTTCACTTAACATTATATTTTCGAGGTTCACCCATGTTGTATTGTGTTTTCTTTATAAGGTTGATATTCCATTTTATGTGTATACCACATTGTTTTTTAAATCATTTTGACCATAGATGCTTGTGTTGCTTTCATCTTTTGTCTATTGTGAATAAGGGTTGCTCTGAACAGGGGTGTGCAAATATCTGTTTGAGTTTCTGCTTTCATGTCTTTTGGCTATATACCCAGAATTGGATCAAATGTCAATTCTGTATTTAATTTTTTAGGAATCACCTTACTATTATCCACAGTGGTTGTACTGTTTTACGTTCGTACCAGCAATGAGCAGAGGTTGCAATTTCTCTACGTCTTCAAAAATACTTTTTCACATCTTTGCCAAACACATTCTCTTTCTCTCTCTCTCTTTTTTTTTTTGATAATAGTTATCCTAATGGGTGTGAAGTAGTATCTCCTATGGTTTTGATTTTCCTAACGATTGGAGGTGTTAAACATCTTTCCATATGCTTTGGGGCCATATGTATATCTTCTTTGGAGTGCTATTCATTTATTTTAAGATTGATTTTAATAGAAATTTTTGGATTTTTTTTTTTTTTTTTTTTGGTGAATCGTCTAAAGGTTAAGAAGGCAGCCCCACTATGTTTCCTTTGGAATTTTTAACCCTACAATACTATAATTGTAAAAATTTCAATTATCTATAGACAAGTATCTATAGTAACTCCAAACTTAGAAATAAAAAAGACCATAAAGCATCTTTAATAACAATGAATGAACCTTTGAGTATCAGATTGTGATAAAAACAGTTCAGAAAAGCCAAGGATCATTCTGACCTGCTTTGATTTTTTTTTCTTTTAATTAGAAGGAAAGGAGTATATTGATTGGCTGACTGTGTCTATGAAGTCGATCTCTTTTTTCTGGGACTTGGAAGCCTGGAAACAAACAGAAGAGACAAAAATGGTGAAACAGGGTCACCTGGGTGGCTCAGTCAGTTAAGCGTCTGACTCTTGATTTTGGCTCAGGTCATGATCTCAGGGTTGTGAGATCGAGTTCCGCATCCAGCTGTGTGCTGGGCATGTAGCCCACTTAAGATTCTCTTTCTCCCTCTGTTCTTCCCCCTCCCTTAAAAAATGGTGAAACAGAAAAAAGAAGTATTGGGTAGCAGTATAGCAATGGGATGCGGGTAGGTGGGGAGTGGCAAAGGACATCAGTAACAGTGATGGACAATAAGCAGCAGAACTGGCAGCAGAGGAGATAAGTTTCAGCAACCAAGGTGACAAACTAATACAGCTCCACAGATTGGAATGGGATGGGGGATGAGGTGAGAGAGAGCAAATCACCAGCTACATCTCAACATATGGTTCTGAAGTCAGCCATTTGGCCTTGAGTAGTTCAGTAAGACCTACTGTGTATCAGTGCAATGTGTCTGTCAGTTCATCTGGCTCAGTAGTCAATGTTTGGAAGATGTGCAGTGTGTACAGTCCTGCAGGAGTAAGCTATGTTTTTCAGACAATGTATCACATTATTTCCATCCATAGAATAATGAGGTTTACTTAAGTAATTTAATGAGTAATTGTGTAATTTAATAGTGTTCAGCATTGTTAAAAAAGGTGGGCTTTTTTTTTTTTTGGATTATTTTTATGAGAAGGAAAGGAATTTTTTTTGTCCAGAATAGCTAATGGTCTAGTAGTTCAAGGTAACACCTTTTTTTTCCTTTTTTTTTTTTTTTAACTATTGAATGACTTTGTACACTATCATTGTCTAGAAAATACTCTTGGGGTACTACATTTAGCTAACTATTTCAGTTATAAAGCTCAGTTAAGCCGATTAATTTAAAGTAATGAATGAAAAATTGTACCACAGTTTTGCTCATAACTCTTTGGCAAATTAAAATTGATTAATTTGGTACAGATGAGATGGCAGATGACTGACTTGCTCAAGGTTTCACAGCTAAGTTAAAGACAAGGCAGAGACAGCAGTACTGTGCTGCTTTCTCTGATATTGTATTGTTGTCTCCTTTTTGGGGGAATAGTTCATTTTTGCAGTATAGATAATGTAGATAATTTTGCTGTAGAGAAAAATATCACTGTGAAGACACATCATTGAAGCAAAGCATTTATTTTATGTTTCCATTTTTATATAGCAGATAGGATATTTATTTTAAGCATAGTCTAGATTGATAATGTACTCAGGGTTGATTTGTTTGGAGGTTGGAGAGATGCTAATAAGACTAAGATTTTGGATTTGGGCCCTTGTAAGGCCCTCTACGAGCTCATTACAGAAATGATC